TTTTTTTTTTTGGGGTCCTCCCCTTCCTCGCCGTTAAGGCTATACAGGGTTTTCCCAGGCCAGAGGGTGTGGGCGGAGATTTAAAAGACGCCTTGGCACCGGGACGCGAACTTGTGATAAACTCTTATATCGAATAAATCCAAAAAACTTAAATAAGTTGAAACGCAGTGGCGTAATCTTAAAATGGAGATTATTTTCAAAACTAGGCACACGATACCATAATACTAGACCCTTATATCGAATAAACCCAAATAGGTACAATCCGAAAGTTTAACATAAAATTAATAGTATTTTGAAAAACTCAACATAGAGGAACATAATAATAGATCCTCATATTGGAGAATGGCCCTTATTTCGAAAAAAATTGCAAAAAATGGAAACTTAAATTTGAAATATAAAAGGTTGAATTTGAATTGGAAAAGGTTTAATTTGACTTGGGAAAAGGTTGACTTTGATTTGGAAAAAGTTTTTTATTTTGATTTGGAAAAGGTTGAATTTGATTTGGAAAAACCTGAATATGACATGGAAATATTCTACCGAAAAATTCTAAAAAGTAAAAATAAATGGATATGCAACCACGTTACCACATTTTTTTTTTTTTTTGTATTTTTCTAAAGATATGCATTCGATAATATATCAAAGTGGCCTTTATTTAGAAAATTTACAAAAATTGGAAAGTTGAATTTGACTTGGAAAAGGTTGAATTTGATTTGGAAAAGGTTTAATTTGACTTGGGATAGGTTGAATTTGATTTGGATAAGGTTGAATTTGACTTGGAAAAAGTTTAATTTGATTTGGAAATGTTGAATTTGTCTTGGAAAACCTGAATGACATGGAAATATTCTACTGAAAAATTCTTTATTTATTTTAAATGATATTTACAACTGTATACAAAAAAATACATCTAGTAAATTTGCACATTGGTATAAAGACATGGAACACATGTTGAGAAACTACCCATTGGTAGCACTCTAGAAAAATTCTAAAAAAGTAAAAATAAATGGATATGCAACCGCGTTACCACATTTTTTTTTTTTGTATTTTTCTAAAGCTATGCATTCGATAATATAGCAAAGTGGCCTTTATTTAGAAAATTTACAAAAATTGGAAAGTTGAATTTGACTTGGAAAAGGTTGAATTTGATTTGGAAAAGGTTTAATTTGACTTGGGATAGGTTGAATTTGATTTGGATAAGGTTGGATTTGACTTGGAAAAAGTTTAATTTGATTTGGAAATGTTGAATCCTGAATATGACATGGAAATATTCTACTGAAAAAAATCTAAAAAGTAAAAATAAATGGATATGCAACTGCGTTACCACATAGAAAAGTTTTATGAATTTAACACGGACATGCATCTTCCCTTTTTGGACAGAAAAGGACTTTTGAAGTGAATAAATATAAACTTACCCAAAAAAACTGATCAGACTAACAATAATGACAACTATCTTTTGAGTCAAGCTTGAAAATTCGCTATCTGGGGAATTTGATATAGAAAATAGCTTGAGACAGTGTAATCATCTATCTCCCCTTCTTTTTAATTAAGCCCTGGAAGTAGCTATTAGTTCTATTAGAACAAATCCAGGAGGAACCTTCTAAAAACGCCTGTCTACATCTAGTACATACTAATGGTGTTGTCATTACCTCTTCCATAGTCCCATTATGGTCTAACATTCTCAGTTTAGCTTCTAGGCATACCTCATATTCTTTTCTTTCCTTTCAAGAATATGAGGTATCATCATGAATTCACTATAATATTATTATTATTGTCAAGGTACTATGATGGTCCTGGAAGAATCAGGGCCTCCTCCACTACAGACAATCAAACTTCATTATCTTGTGATTTCTCCCTCCAGCTTTAAACACCCTGCCACCTCTTATTGTATATAAGTGCTGAAGGGTAAAATAATCAAAGAGGTCTGAAACATAGAAGATAAAATCAGACACAGACCCAGACAAGATCCTGGATAGATGGAGACAAACTACTCTTCGCAGTTTTCTGATCTCAGACAATCTCAAAAATGCGAGGAAGTTGAAGAAAGCATTCGAGTTAAAGAGACTATTCAAGTGGCTAAAAATTATATGAATGAGGAGGAAGATATTGAAAGGACCTCGCAGAAACTAAAGCTAGGTAAAAGAGGAGGAAGGGATGGCATTATCCCAGAGTTTATTAAATATGGATGAAATGAAATGGTATAATCATTTACAAGCACTTTTCCAGAACATATGGGATGATAAGATTATTCCATAGGATTGGAAATATCATCTCATAGTGCCGATTCATAAGAAAGGTAGCATCACTGAATGTGGCAACTACAGGCTATGCCTATCCCATGAAGCTGCCTACAAACTATATACTGCTTTAGAAAACATGTTAAGGCCAATGATAGAACCACAGGCGGATCTACGGGGGGATGGGAGGGGGCTTTCAGGTTGAAGTCCCACCAAAACGGTAAAATATTAAAAACTATCTCTTAAAGTATTATTGTTTGTGTAATTACATTTAATAGGACTTCAAGAATCACTTAAACAGCATTTCATATAGGTAGTTAATTTCTTTCTTTTTTTTCAAATTAATTATCGTTATATATATGAAAAAAAAAATCTACTGGACTGAAGCCCTTCCACGATAGTGGAAAGGATAGGTAGGAAGAAATGTCCAACTCCACATCAACAAAGCAGTCATACATCATACATTGTTATATGACAGTGAAAGCTGGCTCACCCAAAACAAGCAGTTAAGCAGGATTAGTAAAATTTGTATAAAGAATATTGGGAAAACTAGAAAATATAGAATAAGAAATGAGAAGTTGTGATATCATCACTGAAATCAAATATAGATTGCTGAAAACTTTGATGGTAAGGACACATCTGCATGTGAGAACAGAGTACCATGAAATGTATTGAAGTAAGGCCAACTGGTAGGAAACCATGAGAATGTACCTAGAAAATATCCAATGAATAGATTAGGAAAGAGGGGAAACCCTAACACAGTTAAAAGGAATTGGCGAGAGAACAAGATGTGTGGTCAAAGTGGCTGCAGTCTCCTCCAAGCATAAGGCACTTAAGCAAGAAGAGAATCCTTGATGATAGGACCGAGGACCAAAATTTTAATTACACTATTTTAGAGAAATAATAAAATAAATAGGCTAGAGCAGATGTCTCAGAACTATGGCCAGCAAGCACTTCCGTTCTAAACCACATAAGTTTCTTTGATTACATGGTAAAATTTTTAAAAAATATGAAATTTAACAAATTACTCAGACAAGAGGTAACAACATTTATTGCATTTTTTTTTTTTTTTTCCTCTCTCTTAGAAACTTTATTTCACAAAAAAAGATATTTTTATGAAGAGAACAATTTTTTTTTTTCATCATAAGCCATGATCCCGCTGGTACTTACCTACACATCTCAATGTTGCCTTCGAAGCTTGGTGGAGGTTTCTGTGTGGCGGGCTAAAAATTTAGGAGACTCCTAGGCTAGGCCATAGGTAGGGAATATTTTTATCATTAGAGGCCTCTAATGCCCCACAGTAAGGTTAGTCAGACCACAGCAATTTTTTGTTTTACTGTTGATATTTTTATTTATCACTAAATATATGCACCTATTTACGTATAATCAACTTATTGTATTAATTTTCAAAACCTAAATAATTAAATATTAATTAATTCTAGGCCTATATTAATTAATATCTCTGTAAAACGTTTGGAGGCCACATGTGCCCTAGAGGTTCCCCACGTATGGCCTAGACCACAGGTGGGGGGGGGGGAACTGCCGCCTCCAAATGTTTTTGTGCAATATTTATTAATCTAGCAACAGAATTAATCAATATTTAATTATTTAAGTAACAAAAATTTAGATATTAATAAATTAAGTTAAATATATGTTTGTACCCACATACATATATTTAAGTGTGTGAGTGATAAATAAAAATATTGAATATTTAATAGTTGATTGTTGCATTATAAAGGAAGGAGATGGTCTGAGGTGGCGGTCATAAATAGGCTGAATAGTGGCAAAACTATTTTATTAAAAGCCAACGTTTCGACCCGACTTTGCAGGTCAGGGCTAGAACAGACAAGATACAAAAAGAAAAAAATTGTGGAAGTTACATAATATGAAAAAAAAAATTAGAAACAATGTGAATAAGTTTATAAAAATTATAAACAGTAAGTACATTAAAATATAAGCTGAGTAAAAAGATCCTAAACTGAAGTAAATAGATAGTAACAATTGTTGTAGTGTAATATATAATATATGCAAATGTATATATTATATATATGATCAAATTTATATATAATATACTACACTATAATTGTTACCATCTATTTACTTCAGTTTATGATCTTGTTACTTAGCTTACTCTGTTTATAATTTTAATAAGCTTATTCATATTGTTTCTATTTTTATGTCATAATATTATGTAACTTCCAGAATTCTCAATCTTTTTGTATCTTGTCCATTCTAGCCCTGAATAAGACCTGCAAAGTTAGGTCGAAACGTTGGCTTTTAATAAAATCGTTTTGCCACTATTCAGCCTATTTATGACCGCCACCCCGCATCATCTCCTTCCTTTATAAATAAAAATAGCAAGAGTAAAATATAAAGAATTGTTGTGACCTCCATTAGTACTGGCTAGCCCAAGGGTCTCCAAATGTTTTTGTCCAGAGTCCATGGCTTGTAATGAAAAAAACAGCCTTGTTCTACAAATGACTATTCAGCACTGGAATGAGTTTTCATGGAAAAAAAAAAAAAACCTTGCAATAAATGTAGTAACCTTGTGTGCGAGTAATTTGCTAAATTTTGTATTTTTTAAATAGGTTTAAAAATTGTACTATGTAATCAAGAAACTTTTTCAGATCTGGCCCATGGGCCGTAGTTTGAAATCAGACTAGACTACAGGCATAGCCTTTATTTCACATTAAGGTTAGGCTTTAATCAATAATGGAGAGAATATTTCAGAAGTTTAAAACAAAATCAGAATGTAAGGGTAAAAAAATAATAATAATAAAAATGTTTAACTTTTGTAATAAAAAATGGTTTTATTTGGGCCTTTCTTTGAATGGCTCAATGAAGACCTAGATTAATCACAACAAAGTCAAATTAGCATGTAAATTTAAGGAACAAGGAAGGAACTGACTGTGGATTATCTGATGCACACTTGGTACAGGCTTAATTACTTTAACATTACAAATATTAAAAGTAATCAAGGTTACAATAAATTTTAATTCTTATTTGAACCATAACTGCATTAGTATGAATAAAACTTTATTGTTCAGTTCCTAAAATATGCCAATATAGGGCCATAATTTCAAATTGTGAAAAATATAGAAAAACAAAAAGAAAAGAACAAGAACCAATACAACATAATCTTCCTTTTGCACCATTAATAATAATTATAATATTAATAAAAAAAATTCTGAAACATTTCTAGAAACTTATAAATACTAATGTATATAAGTACAAAACACTGGTGATTTAGATGGTAATAAACTATTCTACAAGCCAAATTTAAATCTTTGTTAATTAAAACAGTCAAAACTAAATAACGTAATAAGTCACTTTACAAATTATATAACTAAATTACTCTAATATACAGTAGCTCTATAATACAATGACAAATGGTACAAACAAAGATCAATTTCAGTTAAAATTTACAGCCTTCAGGAAAAAAAAGGAACTTTTACAAGACATAACTTCTAAACGACTATGTAAATAACGTTTAATTACAATAAATTACAAAGTAAATACCAATGAATTAGAAAGAATAACAAATTAATGGCCTTTAAAGGAATAATTCCTCTTGTCAGAATACTTCAAAAATCTGACTACAATACAATGTTATAAAAATAATAAGCAGATAACAGAAATTGATTAACAAGCTTACACTATTTTTTAATTATTTTTTTTCATATGTTACAGTTCATTTACAAACAAAACAAACCACGAACCTTAATAGACATTACATAACAGTTATAATCCATTAAGCACTCTGAAATGTTTAATGCATTATAAGTGCTATATTGCCTCTAATTGTAAAGATCACTATCACTTAAGAAAATATAGTTTATAATAATAATCCATTTTCTCAGAAATATATAAATTTATAATTAATACTAACTAGTAGGCCATAAATACCTCTTCAAAATAACTATGTAAAATATATCTCCATATTTAAAGATTGCCTTACAAATTATAAAAACATTTACTTTACAACTATATACAATGAACAAAGTAAAATAAATGAAAAGAATTACAATTAATAGATAATCTTAAATAGAGCAATAAATTTTTGTACATTTCTTGTCACATAAAGAAAGATTTTGAAAGACTAAAAATTAGTGGCACTCTGTGATCTCTTTGATTTTTTTCCAATAAGCCTCTCACCTTTGTTGTTGTTGTGAGTAGCTGGTACTTGTCTCTTAGATTCTTGAGAATGAGATCTAATAACTTTTACACATTTGTAAACATCCTGCAAACAAAAAATAGTTTTTTATTAGCCAAATAAATATTTTACTAAACTGGCTGATATAATATAAAATATAATGCTCAACCGGCTTATTAAATATACAAACAGTGAAATACATAATTTTAAATAGTGATTAAAAATAAACTTCAAATATAAAAATACATTGAGTTTATTACAGCTCAGGTAGTAAAAGTTGAAAAGAGTAATCAGATTAGTACAGACAGAAATATCAAGAAGTTGCCCGCAAGAACCGTTATTCTCTTGAGCGCCTTCCTCTACTCATCTCTGTCTAAACAATCTTGGTCTCTTAGCCCCACTTGGTCCATATCATCCTTAATCTGTTTAAAATACCCGCTTACATTCTTATGACTGTGGATGCGCTGAAAGATTTTATGGTTAAGTCTTTCAGGATTCATCCTTATCATAGAACCTCAGCCTTCCCACTCTAGCGTCAGTTTCTAGATCCGTTTTTTTTTCTTTATATATTTTGTGTGTGTATATATTATATGAACAGTGGAGCTCAAAAATGAGAAGTCATAAGCAACTGATATTGTGTATTTAAGATTTGTACATACCTAGGATGTAACTTGTCAATATCAACTTACTAGAAATGCCACTCTTGATTTTAAACATTTTTCTCAACAACGGCTATAACGATTTTGATTTAATTCATTTATTCAGTGTAAAATTAAGCAGTTTTTAATATAATGTAGGTTTTATTCTCATTGATGTTCCCTAACAGAGTTTAAATGGTAATTTTCAAAACTTGTAACTCCAAAGTATCGTTAATTTTTTTATTTGAAAGAATTAATGATCCTCTCCTCTTTACATATATATGATACCCCTCTGTACAGAGCTTTTATATAGTTAGTTTAACTTTTATATATTACTTATCCATAATTTGTTTAATGTTTTACTTGGAAAATGTTGAGGATGTAATAATATACAATATTCACTAACGTTAAGTTAATTTTTTGATGAGTTTGGAGATAAATGTCTCTGATAAAACTCAGAATTTTTCCAAAAGGTACGTTTTCTCCCACAGTCGTTAGTATTCTGGTACTATACATAGTCGTAAAAGGAAATAAAATGTGATGCAAACTTTATAAATTTAACAGATTTGATGGGTGGGGGAAACATGGTAATTAATTGTTTTAAATAAGGTTATACCATTGTTTTCACTTTGACTTATATATATGAAAATACCTATCTACTCTAAGGTTGGTAAATAGAAGTTGTTTGATGTATGAACTGCCCCAGATTATTAAAAATAAGGAAAAAAATAGTTAAATAGCGAATCGTACTCTCTGCTTTTGTTTTTCTTTCTAATATAAATGAAGTGATATTTCGCTAGACTTCAATATAAGAACAGTGGATCGATATGGAACAGATAAGAGATTTGAAAATTTAGATGTGGACAACAAGACTCGGTCAGTTCCTTCGGAACTACTTGGCTCTGCTGCCTTTTCAAGCCCAAAAATGTACTGTTTTCAAAATAATGCAAGAAAAAGGGCTCAGTTACAAAACCTCAAGTTAATTGTAGTGCTGCCATGGGATACATGTCTCATGTCACAGACTATGATCGAGGAAGAAGGAGTTTATATTATTATCAAAGGATTTTTTTTTTTTTTTTTGTCATATCTTTGTTAATTCTTCATCAAAACCCAACATCGAGCCATTATTTTGAAGATTTCCTTCTCTTCCAGGTTTCATGAAAAAATTTATTAGGGAAAAGAAACTTAATTTGCGAATAACTCAAAAAGTATACACATTCTTGTAGATTACACCCTTGGTCACTTAAAAGATACTAAATTCCTTACAAACAACCAAGAAAAAAAAATCATCTAAATCAGAATTTTGTTATATTTATTCTTTTTGAATATCTAGCTTATATTATTTGTTTTCAATATTTAGTTTATAATAATCTTAAACAGGGGAAAATATTTCTACATAAGTTAATTATCAAATTCTTTCATCATTTATATCCCTGTTTTATTACTGCTGACAATCAGAAACAACTGAAAGTGATGGTCAATTACTTACAAACAAAATTAGGTTAGTTGAGAGGAAGGTATTGGGTTGGCTAAGAAGTCCTTTCAGTTTTTCTGTTTATTTTTATGTCACTATGATACACTTGTTATCTGATGAATTAATCCCTAAGGTGGATTGTTTATCCAGTTAGTAATATGTCAACTATATCTGCTAACCCTATGTTGAAACTATATCTACTAAGCTAGCTTAGTATTGTGTTTGCAATTGCGCTGTAAATATGGGAGAAAATATCATTCATTATCGGCACATTTTGTTGTATTATTTTTAAAAAGGTAAGCCTGCTGCAGCTCATAAAAAAATTTGCAGTTTTTGGAGATGATGCACTTAACTGAGCACATCTATCAAAATTGGTTAGCCAAATTTCATTCAGGAAATTTTAACATCAATGATGCTATGGTCTGGTCGCCCATATGAAATTGGAACGAGTAATGTTGGGTCCATTATTGATCAAAATCTCACCCAATTAGTGCGAGATATTGCTATGACCCTAAATGTGTCGTACACAAGAGTCGAAAACCATCTGCACAAGCTCGGCTATGTTTCCAGGCTTAATTCAACTTGGCATCACACATTTCTGTTTGTGATTCCTTATGGAAACGGCAACAAAATGACCCATTTTTGAAAAGGATAGTAACAGGAGATGATAAATAGATATTTTACGATAATGTAGCCCATAGAAAATTTTTGGAATCTTAGAGACCTAGTAGTGAGGCTCCTAGAAGAATGTCAAAACACGGATTGCATCCAAAGAAGATAATGCTTTCCATGTGGTAGGATTTCAAGGGTATTTTCTATGAGCTATTGTCATCAAGAACAACCATTGATCCAACTCTATACTGCTCACAATAAACAAAATTTGATCAATCAATTAAAAATAAAAGCCCAGAACTGGCAAATCAGAACGTTGTGTTCCACTAAGACAAAGCTAAGCCCCACAACTCATTGGTCACTCGCAATAACTTATTATGGGACCTTTTGCCCCACCCTCCATACTCACCAGACCTAGATCCAAATGACTACCACTTATTCCGATCTCTGCAGAACGCCATGAATGGAAAGAAATTCCAAAAGGAAGAGGACATAATAAAAAACCACTTAGATCAGTTTTTTTAACAATAAACTCCAGACATTCTATGAAAATGGCATTATGCAGTTAGTGGAAAGAGGGGAAAAGGTCATATTAAATAATGTTCAATATATTGTAGATTAAAATGAGTTTTATTTCTGTAATACATTGAGTTTTATTTCTGTAATACATCGAGTTTTATTTCACCCTGAAAAACCGAAAGGACTTATTTGCCAACCCAATGGCATGTCAGACCCAGTCGGATTTCAATGAGGATAAGAATAGATTGACATTGATGAGCATTTGATTTTGGATTGAAATTAAAAGTTTAATAAAAGTTCTTTCAAAGTTTTTCGAGAAAATTTCGTAACCAAGGTGTAACTTCTGGTCAGTCCATTTTACATTCCAGTGGTTGCCTTTATTTGTGACACTGGTAGGCATGCAGCCTATAGAGTGAGCCATGCTTTTTGGTAGTGATTAATCTTTTTTTTCTTTTGTTTTGAATTCTAAATTCACTATTTTGTGCATTAATAAGTATTTATACAATTTCTAACATTATTTATTTATATTAAAATATTGTACCCGTTTTTTTTTTTTTTAATTTTATAAGAGTGGAACACAAAAAAAGGTTTACTTTTTGTATATTAAATATAAGGCAGGTCATAACATAAAGACAGGTAAATAAAACAAAAAATAAATAAATATACAAATATTTCATGTATTTTAATTAAATAGGTTACATCTGACAATAAAAAAGCAAATATAAGTTATGTATACTAAAAACATAAAATATAAGTTTGAAACAACACAAGTTTACTCATCATCATCATATTTCCTCTTTACTGCTTAAGTGGTGTGAGGTTGATTTTTATTTATAAATTCATTTTATATGTAAAATCTAAAAAATTTATTTATAAATTTATCTAGCTTAGACCAGGAGGACCTCTCTCTTCTGCACCAGCTCTCGCTTCTGGAACACATCTGGCACTTTTCTTCTAAGGAGATTTGGGGTCTTCTCCCCTGCATGCAAGTCTCATAGGTCTTCTCAGTGACTCTCATCGATCCATCCAGAGAAGGTGGACAAAAACAAAACATCTTAATTTGTTTTCTTCTAAAATGGTTTTTACTAGCTTGACCTAGAGGTTGGCACAGATAGCAGTGTTATGAATTTTATATCGTCTGATCTTCCCTTCACCTTTTGCAGGTATCACATCTTTAGGGACTGGATTGCAACCCTGTGCTTTAAAGTGAGAGTCCAAGACTCAGAAGATGCTAGAATAAGAAGGAACACTGATCTATATTCGGCCATCTTCATTTTTGTTGTAACCTCTCTTCAGTTTAAGAAGCCTCTCCTTACTAAATAGAACATTCTTCTTTTCTTGCTGTTCCTATCCATTGTCTCACCACAAAAAGGGGAGGAAAGAGTAGATTCCATATCCCTACACCCCAATTGAAAGCACGGCATCTCCTCTATTAATCTTCATATCACCAATCAAGGATGAATACAAAATAATCTGGTGTGCGCAACACACAATTTTCACTTATCGCTCTACTTTGAATAGAAATTATTTCCTGGCAACGTTGATCTAAAATTTTAGAATAATAATAATAAAATGTTTGAATTGCATTTTTAACTGAGCTAAAGCATAAAGCTTACAGCAAACAGATCATTAATACCATTAAAATAAAAAAAATCATATTTATTATATCAACGGTTGATTATTGATTGTACGAAAATTAGGTGTTAAACAGTCATTTCCCATTGCAAAGTTTACTAAAATGGAATTATGAGATTTGCATTGCCTGTCATAGATAGGTCAACAGTTGTCACACTAATTATAAGTGGATACTATTGGAATATCACAAAGGGAAAATTCATCAAATTATTTACTAATTTGATTTTCTAAAAGTTTTCATGATGATTTTTCAGAATAAACAGATTCTAGATACTTAATTATTTAAATATAATATCAGATCTAGAGTTATTTAACTACAGTAAATTTATTTAAAGTTATAAACATATCCATGAAATATTTTTGTATTTCACTTTTTCTTTCACAAAAGTATAATAATAGCATTTTATACAATATCATTGCCTGGATTCGGTGGATTTTAATTACTTTTATTCAACAACAAAAAATTTGAAAGTTTATATTTAGTAAGATTTTATTTAATTTTGTTGCAAACATGTGATTAACGTTAAATAATACTAGTTTTCAGAAATTTCTTTTCGACACCATCTCTGATGGGAAAATGCTACTCTGAGTAATGAGAAACAAGTATATTTTACTTAACTACTGACCTTTTTTGAGTACCAAAGAATTTAATTATTGCTTCAATTGATGCCAAACAAATAACTGAAGTAGTGATTGAACTCTCAATAGTGATTTAATTTGAGTGAATACTTGGTACTCGGTACTTAAAAGTGCCCATTTCTGCTCTCTGTTACCTTCTACAATTTCATTTATTAGATATTACCTTTTCCAAAATTCTCTACTTTCCAACGATATATTAAACCTATACCTTTTGAATATTATTTCCAGAGATTAATTTTCAACCTGGATAAGCATTTTTGTTTTTTGTTCTTTATTCATTAAAAAGTTTTAAAATGGGCATTTAGCCCTGTTAAGCGACATCAATAGGAATAAAACCTAAATGGTACTAAAAATTACTTAATTATACATTGATACACCGAGTTGAATCAAAATAGTTTGGTTCATTTTTGATTTCATCAGAAAAATTGATTATATAAAGTGCAACTTCCCGTTAGCCAATTTCGACAAAAATTGACAGTAGCATCCCAGGTATATACAAACCTTAAATATGTAATGTCAGTTTCATACGACTTTTCATTTTTGAGCTAGACTGTTCACATACATATCACACACACCATTTTGCAGGAATTGGTTATTTGGACTCAGGAGACCTCAAAACATATATTATCATTGAAAACTCAGATTCAAAAATTTACACGATAGCAATACTTCCTTTACTATATACTTCATATATAGGTAAGTGAAAGTAAAAACGAGGACTCAAGCTGCTGCGACATCATATCCCCTGTGTTGTTTCAAATAATTAAGATGTATGATTACTTGTTATATCCAAATTCCTTGTTTTACTGTATCAATTGCTTACGGCCATGAGTACATTGTTTACTCCTTTCTCCACCGAAACACCAACTATACCCTTTTTCCTAACCATGTCAAAGGTCATACATAAATCCACAAAGCATAATGAAAGCTCTTGTCCATGATCTGCTGCATGGTGAAAATTAGATCCTGTGTGCTCCTTTGACTCCTGAATCCATATTGTTCCTCTCCAATTCTGCTTTCAACAATTTTTCTGACTCTCGCCTCCGGAATTCTCAAGTATATCTTACTGGGTACACAACGGAGTGATATATCTTGATGACTTCCACATTCCACACACACACAGGGGACACTTCTCTGTTATCTCTCTTCTTATACATACAGGCACTATGAAAGAAACCTTCCAGTCATTTTGGATCTTTTTCTGTTTCCAGACCAGGTTAAAAAGATGGAGAAACATCTGTCCTTTACTGCCTAAATACCTCATTATTTCCGGAGTGATTCTAACCAGCCCCACTGACTTGCTGAGTTTCATCTTCGAGTTGGATTCCTGCAGTTCTTCTTCTGAAAGAGCATCTTCTATTGCCCAGGTCTCGTTTGGCATAAATCTCTTCCTTCCAGCAACTCCTTAAAATATTATCTCCATTCCAACAGATAATATTTCGATCTCTAATCTTGATTCCTTATTATGTTGGTGACCTCTGTTTTCTCATTATATTGTGTAATTTGTAAAAAACAATTATTGGTTTTCTTTGGCTTTCTTTTTAAGTTTGTTGCCTATATCTTCCCAACAATTTCACTTAATTACAAGTACATCGTCCTTGGTTTCCTTTCTCTTCTCTTTGTACTTTTGGTGGGCATTAGGAGTTCTTTGGCTCAAGAAGCTACAAGTGAACACAAGTTTACTATAAAAAGCAATTAGAAAAATGTAAGAACTAAAATATTAAAAGCAACAAATTAGAAAAAATAAACTATGCGTAAATGTTTAATTTTACTTAGCATAAAATTATGATTTTGGTTATTTTTTGACCCAAAATCTTTCTATTTACTTCCGTAAATTTAAACATATTTATTCATTTTAATAGGCGTGAATACAGCCCTTTTCACTTTTACAAGGGTGGACAATGCTTGTTAGGCCTGTACTAACATATAGCTCATGACATGTTGGACAATGATTAAAGCCCTTCAGAGATTCAAAAGGGAAGTGCTGAGGGAAATATATGGAGGTGTGTATGAACAGGGCTCCTGGGGATGAACAAATGAAGACTTATAAAGGGATCAATGTTATTAGCTTATCAAATTCGAATGAGTCTGGTGAGCAGGTTATATTATGAGTGTAAACCAAGCTGATAGCCCATTAAAACATTAGTCACGAGTAAATTTCGAATATATTCTCGCTTTAAAAATAATTATGCCACAAAGTGTTTGAAAAGGGTGTCAGGATTTTTCTTAATACAGAAGTGCTGCAGCAAAAAAAGTTAGAGAACTGTTGTTCTAGTCCTTCCTGTTAAACAGTGGGTTCTTGGAGGACTTATTGGATGATAAAGTGGCCTTTAGTCAATAGTTCTGAGACCTCTTCCATGAATTAGTTAATGCCATAAGCTGTTCACTAATAGAAGTTCTCATTCGGCTCAACATTTTATAAAACTTATTGAAATATCTAACGCAATTAAGTGCACCTGCCTTGGTTACATCCACACAAATTATTGACATGTTTAGATTCTACTCACCTGTAACCGTTGCTCTAAAAGCTGAATTTTCTGTTTTGCTGCTTTCAATTCATGTTTATCCTTTACTGTTTTGTATATAGGAGAAGATGAAGTTTCCAACAAAAGTTCGCTAGCAGTTGGCCTTAATTCAGGATCGACATGTATCATCCTCTGAAAATAATAGGTAAATTGCATTAAACCATTCTCATAGCACTTACTTTAAAAATATAACACTGATATGTTCAATAAATTAAATGTAAAGGAAATAATGTAATTATTTAAAAACAAACTTTAACATTTATAAGGCAAAGGAAACAAATTATTATATTTTCCATATTCTGGGATTATTGAATTTTCTTTTATCACAAAAACTACTAAGTCCTAGTCCATTTCCATTTCTCCTGATGACCTCAACGCTCATATTGTCTCCTGCTATTTTTTAACGTCATTCCCTGTATCCGTTCCAGCTCCTATGTATTCCCGTTTTAATCCTGATCATGTATTTTTTCTCCACATTACCCCTGCAGATCTCCCTAACTCGATTCAGAAGTTATATTATTTACTCCCATACCAAGAATTATGGTCCCAGGTCCCAATAACATCCCAGTCTGACTGATTAAAGCTGTGCTGCCATCCATTCTTATGATCCTTTATCATATCTATAATTATTCTCTAAAAAAAATTCTACCTTCCCTACATCCTCGAAAACTGTTCTAGTTCACCCCTTGAAGAAGACCTGTAACCCATGAACTCATAATAATTTCCGTCCAATTTCCCTCCTTTTAAACCTCTCCAAACCTCTACACAGACACTGGTTTAATTCCAGCTATCCTACTTTTTAGAACAGAATAACCTCCTAAACCCCTACCAGTCTGGTTTTAGGCCTGGCTATTCTACCTAGTCTGCCCTAATCAAAAATTCCCAAGACTTTCATACAGCCATAGATCAGCAGAAGCATCCAAATTCACTTCTCCTTCAATCCGACTGATTTCTCTGATGCCATCCTAAAACTACAGGAAGATATTAACAGGCTCACTCTAAACGCAGAGAAGACTAAAGCTATCTTAATATCTCCTCACTCCTCAAATCCAAACAAATATATATATGTATATATCTTTCTTAGTGTATTTTTACTTTTAATTAGCTATTATTATAAATATTTAATTTAAGTATTGCCATACTGGCATTCATTCTGTATTTATAATTTATGCTAAAGGGACAAAAATTCTAAAATAATAAAAAATGTTTTCATTTCATTACAACCACCTTTAATAATTTTTCCATTTTGTTTCTATCAACCTTTTAGTTAATGATGTAACCAAGATTGACTATGTTTCTGAGAAGCCGATTTCGAGAGCCTTGGAAAACCTACCATAGCATCATTCTTCTTGTGTTTTAGGACTAATTTTCATAAGTATTATGAACATATGCATGTGCTCCTCTTGATTATTGTTTATTTAGGTTTATATGTGGCATGCCTTAACAATTTTACATAAATAGAATATGATCTTTTATTCTGTTGGTATAGTCTTTATTAGTTTGTTTCTTTATCTTTATATTGTCTACAGTTCTTGTGCTTAAATTTTCTCTATTTTTTTTTCTGTACATAATGTTAATAATGAATATACTTCTTTCTTTAAATAGACTGGACTAACTTGAAACTTTTTTTTTTGCTGCTTTATTAATCCAGTCCAACCTGTTCATCTGAGTTAGGGTAGTTTTGTGCATGAATGTTACTATGGCCAAAATAATGAATAAGTATTTAATTTTTTCATAATTTCATCTCTTTGGAGATTTTAGACATTAAAGTTAAAAATAGCCAGGCCCGCACCCTTTAAGTTAGTTTCAAAATACAAAATTATTATTGAATTACTTTTATCCATTTTTTGGTCATATTGAAATGCCTGTAAATTTATCGTACTCGAAAGAGTAATGAAGAGAGTAAAAAAGTTAGAAGCAGCTAAAGAATGCTACCATATTTTTCACCAATTTTGTTTAGGTAGGGCTGATTTTGTTAGAAAAATTATTTTTTTTCATACGCTGTTAAACCAGGGATTAAGAACCACTGTCTATACTATGAATTTTGCCCGATGAACCTTTTTTTAAAAATCGTAATGGCTAGGTAACTAAAAAAAGCTTTATTTACAATACAATATTTATAATATATATGTGTATACATAAAAATGTACACAGTGCAGTTCAAAGAACACAATTATATAAATAGAATGAGACTTTACCTTAATCAAATTATTAAATTCTGAGCTGAGATGAGGGAAAGTAATTATCTTGCCTTCTCTGATCTTATGCCAATCCTCTCCATTTTTCGGCAGAGGTCCACCTCCAGCAGCTTCATACAGTGCTAACCCTATAAGATATTAAATAAAAATTTAACCCAATAAGATATCAAATAAAAATGTAAGACATACATACAATATATCAACAGCCACACTGATAAAACTTTTAAGAACAATTCCTTTAGGAAATGAGGTTTTGAGCTCCCTACATAGCTTTTACTCTATAGCTTCCTATTCTTATTTCCTATTTAGTCACCAATCAATTTTCATCATTCACTATATATAACCATTTTTTTTTAATAGGTTCAAATGTGAAATAGTTAATTTTTCAAATAAAAACATGTGCCAAGTAAGGTCAGTATAGCTTCCTCACAGTTTTCATTATTGATTTTTCATAAAATTCCCTTATTTTTTCAGGTATCTGAAGTTTGGTAGACACCCTGTTAAAATTTCTAAAAAGTCTTATTCATCAAGTTAATAAATTTTAATTTGATAGTAACGCACTGAAACGACACTCAAGGCAAGAAGAGAAAGAGTATGTATTCAATTTATTTAGAGATGAATTAGAATTGATTGTATGAATTTTATATTTAATGATAAACAGTCAGGTGCATCAATCATTTACTTATTATCAATTTATTATAATGAATAAATGACAGACTTATCAGGCTATTTATATTTAAATATATATTTGATGTGTTTAAGTGGAAAGACTATCTTAATTTATGAATGAACAGCTTAATTTAATTTATTCAATAAACAGAAATAATAACTAAGAAACTTTTTTTTTATTTCCTCTCATCACTCCCCCTTCCTCCGGCAATAACAATTCAACAAAATATCATATTGGAAGAACATTGAACCGATGCCTCGTTTAATAGCCATATTTAGAACAGATAAATAGAGGAAACAAAGGGAATTATACTTACCTAATGCAAAAATATCAACTTTTGGAAGATTACTATAGTCATCGTTAAGTAGTTCTTTTGGTAAATATCGACAATCTCCTTCCACAACATCAACTACTTCATCCAACTTCGTGACATGTCCAAGATCAGCTAAAAATGTAGAATTTTTGCTTTATTAAAAATTACTATTTGATTTAAACTCTTAACATTAAAAATAAAAGTTATGTTTGTAGAAAAGATGATCAAGATACTATAAGTCAAAATTACAGCATTAAGAAGAGAAAAAAAAATAACTAACCTATTTTATATGTGGTTTCTTCATTAGAATCATCATCGTCTCCATACTCATCTCCATCATACCTATAGAAAACTCTTGGACCTTTTGATATCAGTATATTACCAGGTTTGATATCCATATGTGCCAGGTTCTTGGAATGAATAAACCTAAAACAAAAAATAAAATATTTTAGTAATCGAATATAACTTGATTGTTTAAAATCACATACAATACATTACTTATTATATTATCGCTTTATTGCAAAAGGTTAGTAAATGCAATTTTGACATAGGTTAACAATCAAGCATGTTTTTGTGAACTTCGAACTTTATTTATCAATAAAAAGATACAGTAAGTCGATTAAAATGACGCACACCAATTTATTTATTAAACAATTTACAATCCATGAATCAACATAATTTTTACAATTTTTAGAGGTATTTCCTCCTCCCCATTCCCTCTCCTAAGATGAACCTTCTTTTATTTTAAACTGAGTGTTCAATGTAAACAGAAGTGAATCAAAATGCCCAAAATCCCTTTTCTAAAGATTTGTATACAGTGGGGGGCAGTAAATAACTTAACAGTTGATAATAGAATAGAGTAATTTACATTATAGTATTAGAAAAAAATCATTCTATACAACAGAAAATCTGTAATTGGGGGAAGGGCGGCTCAACAGGCTGAAGGCTCAACTGATCAACTTGATAACCAAATTTTCAGATAAACAAATAATTACGAATTCAAATCCCAGTGAGACTTCTAACTCGGCATAGTTCCCTCGCCTTTTCTCCGGCCCAGGAACAATTCTGTATAGCCTAAAAAACGCAAGGAAGGGTGGACAAAAAAAAAACCTCTGATTGATGATTAAATTACTTGCTACGACAGTAACCACCTACTTTATTTTAACTTAAATTTTTCATGATTTCTTACACAAGTATAAAAATCAGATTATTCCAGAAGAAAGTTGGAAATTTTTATTATCTGTCTGTTTTAAAAATTGTATTAGCAAAATTGAAAGAAAAATATTTGATGGTCAAAACCACTGATACTCGTAGTTTATAGGTATATTTTTTTATAAATTTCGGAAATATGGTTGGTAAATAAATTTTGATAAAACATTTTTATTGCACATTTTCGAACTTTTACTAAACAAAAATCTGTGCTAGTAATATTATTTTATAACACGAAACAAAATACAAATAACAAATCAATTAATATCAGAAGAAATAAATGCTTAATAAAAAAATATGGTAAGTAAAAATAATTTACCTAAGACCCTGAGCAACATGTTCTAGGACTTTACGGAGATTTCTCTCATCCATTGGACCTCTCTCAATAGCCTCTTCGAGACTACCACCATTGCAATATTCATTCTGCATGTAAACATAATCATTTTCAGTCCAGCTAGAATAATTACGAACGATATTCGGATGTTGTAATACTCCATGAGCGTATATTTCATTGTGAGCAATCCGCCTAATGAAAATAGAAGAATAATATTTAATCAGAGTATTACACATTGAAAAATAGACAAAATAAGCAACTATATTTAATCTGTAGTGCTATAGAAAACAGCTTGAGAATTACAAATAAAATCTAACTGTCTTTTTTGAATAGTAAAATTAGTGTCTAGTAAGAACTTCAAACACTGGCAACTTAAAATGATCTTATTCCTACATTAATAAATAAAGAATGAATCATTCATGTACTTTTATCAATTATAGAAGCCAGCTAACCCCATAAGTATTGCTTATAGGCCCAAATTCATAAAATTAATTCATATAAACAGGTAAACAACATTATTAAATTGATCAAAAATAGATCAATGATACTAAACATATTATCATAGGGAAATAGATTCAATTACAGAAGGTGTATTGCTTTAGGAAGGAAAAAGAAATTGAACAAGTTAATTTGATTCTAATACTATAACACTTTGAATTCATCGTTCTGCAGCTTAACAATTTTATTATAGCACCATAAAAAATAAATGTAAAATTATCTAACCTTAAAACATTAAATAAGATATATGACAGTATGAATCATATAAGATTTAATGGATCTTAAAGTAAATAAAAATATCTTTTAACAATGAAAAATATAGGAAAAAATTATTTTAATTGCATTATAATTAATAATTAATTGTATTCAAATTAGAGATAGAAAAAATAATATAACAATTAAAATTTATTATAATTAATTCGACTTGATTAAATCTGAAGCAAAATATGATGATCATTTCTAATTACTTTTAAACAAAATTCCTATTGAAGCACAATAACATTTAAAATAAAATATGAATGAATAACATAATTGAGACAAGATATAAGGTCAGTGACTTATGTGACTAATAGTCTAACCTTCAACTTGGAAATCACATTCCAACAGTATTACACTAATTGTTGTAAATATTAAAACAAACAATTAGTGTCCTTAATATGAAATACTCCAAGCACAATTAATATAATATGAAATTCTCCATACATAGGTAATGTAAATACAGTTTTGTTAAAAACGTTTATTCAACTAATATATTGTGATATATTTTAACATTTCTTCAAATATCTTAACAATGCTGAGAAAAATCAACTGTAATTTAAAACAGAGATTACAAAAAAGTACTTACTCATTCATAATTGGTTTCAATCCTCTTTTCACAGCATATTCCACACCATTCAAGCGGTTTAAGCACTTAACAACTCGGCCATGAACTCCTGTACCAATTACTTCTAATTCTATAAATTCCTGCAGTAGAACATAATAATAGTTGATAAAATCTAATACAGCACAGAGAGAACCAAATCAATTAAATGATAAACTAAAATAATAAAAAACCTACTTCTTGGTATCTCGGTATGTTGAAATCAGAGAGCCTAGGTTTTTTAATTTCAATTGGAGAATCACTATCATCCAAAGGACTATAATGCTCCATACTTTCATCAGAATCAAATGTAATATGCTTTTGTGGACCCCTACAAATCAGATCAAATAATTTTAACGTAACTGATTATATTCAGTTAACATTATGAAGCATTCTGATAAACATTATGAAAACTACTTAGTTTAATTTAAACATACCTTTTGGAGCGGTTTTTGGATTTAAAATCACAGCTGCTTCGACTACAATTAGGAGTAAACGGGTTGACATATATTGAAGGTGAAAGCTGCTTGTCCTTAACATCACTTTGATTGAAATGTAACAACCTTGATCTCTGTAGCCTAAGTGAAGATGTTCTAAGGCCTCTTCTAAATGATTCATTAGCGCATGGTGACATATTAGGTGTAGAAGTTAGTACTTGATCCAGCCTTGACTTTAAAAACGGGATAGGTGTTTCTACCAGTTTCAATGATCTTATTTTCCTGTAAGGTGGACTTTGTGGTGACATTATTAATCCAAGCGATTTGTTCAATTTTAATGACTGATCCATTGGTGGTGTAACTGGTCTTGAGTCCTCGTCTGATAAACTTTCAGGGCTATGAACCATTATAGCTGGACGTTTGATAAAATCCATCTCATCATCACTAGGATTAGTTTCCATTTTTGTTTCTTCCACCATTAATAATAAACTTCAAATAATCTAACTCACCGAACAAAAATATACACTAAAAATTCAAAACAATTGCTGACACACTAACACTAAACAAAAACAACATGGCGGAAAAAGACGCGCGTAAGTTGAGATGCATATGGCCACTCAGTGTTGCCACTAATATCCGTTAAAAATAAATAATTGTTTTAAAATTATCTGAAAGAATCAATTAAAAAATAAAAATATTAAGTATCGCAAGTTTTAAAGATTAAAATGTTAGTGACACTATAATATATACATTTTAGTTCTATTTATACTAATCCAAAGGCACTCTTTTGCATTTGTTTCCTTTCAGGCCCATTTATGGGGAGGTTTTCGGACAGAAGCTCTCCCCAAAAACTGGTAAAATGTAACCATGTTTTATGGGAAAAAAATATTAACAACTTATCTTTTATTTATTATTGTTCGTGTAATTACATTTAACATGACTTCAAGAATCACTTAAACAACATTTCATGTAGGTAGTTAGTATCTTCTTTTTTGTTTTCGAAAGTAATTATCGTTATATATATATATATATATATATATATATATATATATACTATGGCTTCAGCCCAGTATATATATACATATACAGGGGCTTCAGCCCGAGAGCTTTTTTTTTCATATATATATATATATATATATATATATATATATATATATATATATATATATCGGGCTGAAGCCCCTCACCAAAATTAAATCCTGGATCCACTAGTGGTTCTTTAAAGGTTACATGCAAAACCTTTATCAATTAAGTAAAAATAAAAGTTCTGTGTTGCACCTTTGTTTCAAAGATATTGATACCTGCTATTTGTGTAAAACATTTATGCAAGTTAAGTATAAATAATAGAATCAATACTCATTTGTTCTCAAAAACTAATTATCAAAGCTCTTGTCCTCAAAATAATATTTACATCAGCTAATTATTATTCAGGTACATTAATGCAAAATAAACAGATTGATTGTTTAATACTATACTGTATGAAAAATTATTGAAATGATAACAATACTCTTTGAAATTAATAAGACAACTTGATATAAATAGTTTTAATTTCTTTAATTTATATGGATATCTGCGCGAATATTTCAATAAGATACTTCAAAAGGCTTTGTTTGGTCATTTTATTCTTTATCAAACTGCCATTCCATCTAGAATTAATCTACAAGTGGAAACACGTTAAATTATTTTTTGAAGGGTTGATTAAAATTGTTAATGGTAACATACAAAATAGTAAAAACGGAAAGAGGTTTTTGAAAAATAGTTTCATCATCCGTAAACAACTAGTAAATAATGGATACTTGGGATCGCTAGAGCATGAATCACCAAGGTGTCAAGTCTGTGACTCACTGGGGGCAAGGAACCACTTCCAGGAAGGTGGTCTTTCGCCAGACAGTCAGTACCTGTCGTGACGTAAGCAAAAGATTAACTACAGTTTAACCCAGCTCTATTCTAACTCAGTAGATGTTTAAATATTTTATTTCAGAAGAACAATTGGAGGACTATTTGAGAAAGTTAAATGTATTTTTTTTTCATTTAAATTTATGAAATATTTTTAGGTATTTACTGATATTAATAAAGAAATTTCTTCAGTGTGAAGTTCTCCTCAACCAAACTCTAGTCTCAGAAAGTACCTCTTGATATGATAAATATAATATAATAAATAATAAAAATATTATTTGAAAAGCTCTCATTTCTTGGTCAATATTATTGGAAGTGGTATAAATATTGAAGGTAGTCCTGTGACAATAATGTGATATAATATTATGTTACGATTTTTATCCAAGGATATCGATACGAACCTTATTTATTTTTTGTTTGTGTAATATGTAAAACGTATTATTTTTCTAGACATTTCTTGTTTTAATTTGGCTATTTTATTGTTTATTGATCTTTTAACATTTAAGAAATATTATGTTGATAAAAATAGTCAATAAAAAATATCTATAACACTGTAGTACACAGTACCGGCTCAGTCTATCGATAGTAAATTTTTTTATGGAAAATGGTATTAAACGTGTGTTTATACATCAGTGTAATTAGAAACAGAAGAATTAGTCGAAAACAAAATTAAATAATAACAGGTGATTATGATCGTAATCAGAAATTATTCTGAGTTTTTGTTCTTAGAGAACTCGTATCCAAGCTACAGGGCCATTTAATAATAACAATAATAATACTTTATTTATTCTGGGACGAGTCCCTTTAGAAGAATACAGAAAGACATAAATATGGGCTAAGGAGCATCAGAGATACTTACTACAGAGATTTATAGTAGTCTTTCTCAGATTTTGACGATGTCGGTAAAAATTAGTGTTCATTGACCGTGCTTATCGATCATATCGCTTAATCCAATTATTAGGTCTAGGTACTCGTTAGACGCAATATTTGACATTCTTTAATTTCTCAGGGAATACTTTTTCGCTTTAATGCACTGTTAAATGGTAATACATGAAAAAAAAGATCAGATAAATCTGGATTTTTTAGCTGCAAAAGTTTTCTCTTGGTGATCCGTGTGAGCGATTCAGTTTTTTACATGTCAAAACCACCAAGTCCATTAAAACGACATATTTATCAACGCAGATCAATACTTGTTAGAGAGGGGTGGCCGAGCGGATTAACGCGTGTGCAAAACACGCGTTGCCCGATAACCTGATTGATGAAGTTAAATATGATAAAACAATTATGAGTTCGCGACCTGGGCCGGGGAAACTTTTAATTAAATCCCCCGCCCTCTCCCCTGGTCCAGGAAATATTCCGTATAGCCTAAAAGACGAGGAAAGTGAGAACAAAAAAACCAGACATCACAAAACCGGAATAATGAACAGAACAATTCAAGACAACCTACATAATCTGAGATGACGGGAAACCAGCCAACAAGTAGACTCGAGTACACCATAGCACGGGCGGATCTACGCGGGGGGGGGGGGGGAGAGGGGGCTTTCGGGCTGAAGCCCTCCTCCCCCCCAAAATGGAAAAATATACCATGTTTTACGGAAATTTTTTTTTTAAAAATACCTCTTAAAGTATTATTGTTCATGTAATTACATTTAAAAGTACTTAAGGAATAACTTAAACACCATTTCATATAGGTAGTTACTTTCTTTCTGTTTTTCCAAAGTAATTATCGTTATTTTTATGAAAAACAAAGGTTTCGGGCTAAAGCCCCCCTTCCCTCCAAAATTAAATCCTGGATCCGCTATTGCACCATAGTATTTTCTACAATAAGCGGAATTAAGCAAAGACAATACATTGAAGGTTTAGCGGAAATAGTGAACCCATATTAAATATGCTTCGCGTATATCCAACAATCGGTTTTGTGCCCACTTGAGCAGTAAAGAGTTATTAGCTAAACATGAAACAATGAACATTGGGCAACACTCGATTCCAATAAGAAGTTTGATAAACCCTGCTAAGTGCATTCTTATATTGAATGGGTGCCTTAGTATACCACACGTGGTTATAAAAATGAACTGGTAAAAAACTAAGTGATTAGTATCCCCTATCACCTCTCTAAGAGGAGGCTATATTGGGCCTAAAACAAGCCATATTTTAAGTTTTCGGAAACAGGTATTTATTGCACCAGATGATTTAATAAAAATACCAAAATCAATAGAAGTATCCAATGAAGGTACTATTTTTTGCATTTACCTCCCCGAAAATGTTTTAATTTGCTATTTGTGCTGAAAACCGGGCATTTCACTGCAGATTGTCCAGAATCAGATACTTCTGAAGAAGCTTCTAAAGTAAAATTTGGTTTACCGATCGGTGATAACTGTCAGTTCCCCGAACGAGTAGTAAGTAATCCATCGCTTCCTGAAGAACCCTCTGCTAAGCAAAACCAAACTTCGGGCAATACTGAAGAAAATGAAAAAGTTTTTCAGAAAATGACTAATAGCGAAAACAGTAATACGCAAACGGAGGCCACAGAAATAAAAAATACCAATTTACTCTACCGATCTGATGAAATGTTTTCACACGCAGAAGAAGGAATCCTGTCTAATGCTCAAATTGGAGTCTCCTCCATAGGTTGTTTGGAATAAGATTCTAAAAAAAAATGGGTATACATATAAGGCTGATAAATTTATTATATCCACCAAAGAACATATGGCTGTTGAGGATCAGAGTCCCCGGTCGAAAAAAATCCTACTAATATAAGCACCCCATTGAAAAGCAGAATACTAAACTGAAAAAGACTATTAGCTAATAATAATAGACTATAAAAAGACTGATAAAAAATTCTCACCGAAAACTAGCAGAAAATATAGAGATATCGTCCCTCTCAAAGCACATCAAGGAAAAAAAATAAATAAAAAAAGGAACACTTTGGAAACGATACAGAAACCTCAAAGCCTTAAAACCATTACAAAAACAATCAATTCAAGAACTGATTTCAGGAAAATTACAGACACTAAAATAAAAGGAAAATTAAAACCAAATACCAAGGAATTTTTGGAACCTATACGCCATTTAATAACTAATGATAACCCATTAACATTTGACAGACTTTGTCTATCGATTGATATGATCCATGGTGAAAATAGCTCAACTGTTAAGACAATTTACTGCCTACATTAAACGCTTAGAAACAATGGTTAAATAACTTAGAAGTAAAACTACATACAGATACAGATGCATGAAAATTAGATTTTCGAAATTTTTTTTTTATTTATTTTATTTAGACAAATAATATTCTGTCTCGAGGACAATAATTATAGTGATAAAATAATTAGATTGCTCAATTTTACTGAAGTCCATTCTACCTTTTCTGGTTTAGCTGAGACAGGTACATCATTTCTCGCTAGTAATACTAGTAGTAAAGAAATAGAAAATACAGAAAGTGGAGGCAATACTACAGTGGAATTGTAACGGATTTTTTCGTCACTTAGAATATTTTAAGAAACCAATTAGTGATGAAAATCCACTGTGTTGCTGCCTTTAAGAAACTCACCTGAATATTAAGAATATCATGAATATAAAAGGGTATCGAACCTACAGGATAGTGCACTGACGGATCATGGGGTTGAGACTCAACATCTGTAAGGGAAGATATTTTCTCTGAGGAGCTAACACTGAGAACCTCACATGAAGTCATTGCA